GGAAGGGGGAGGGACAGACAGGACGGGTCAGGACGGGACGGAACGAACGACTATATATATCAGTTTCTGTTTGACTGTTCGTGTGTTATGACGTGTGCACGCTGTGTTTTGTACCAAGATCTAGATACTGAAGTTATAATAATTCTGTCTGTAGTTTTTGTGCATCCAGGAGACCGCAAGACGCGCTGTGCACACCACAGTGATTAGATAAAGATAAAGATAGTGTTTGAGTGTGTGCGTTCAACAGCGTGTGCACCCTGTGTAGGACCAATGCAATCAACAAAAGTGTTTGATTGTGCGTTCAACAGCGTGTGCACCCTGTGTAGGACCAATGTCATCAACAAAGAGTCTACATAATGTAATCAAAAGACTATTGTGTTGTATTTTGTTTTGTTTTTTTGTGTGTTTTTTTTTCTCCCGTTTATTGAGATGAATAAAAAGGGGGTTCGTAGATTCTTCCTTCCAGATTCATTCAACGTGGGAAGAGTTTTGAACGCGAGGTGTTGTTTTTACTTTCGCGTTACTTTCTCTTTATGCGTTGGTTTTATTCAGCATTAGCCTTCCTTGTGAGTTGAGTGGGTGTCAAGTGTTGTGCTGGCTTATTGTTCGATTATGTGGGGGGTTTTTGTTCTTCCTTTTTCCAGTTGAGAGTTAAGGCTGGGCCATGTTCTTTTACATTATATGTGAGGCGTGCTGACAAAATGAGTTACTTCTCGCGATCCAAGAATGGAGATATCTGTCGAAAATCGACACTCGGGTCTGATTTAAAGATTTTTAGTTGATTCCATTTTGTTCAAGTCTTCTGTGCCTTTTATTATTCCATACTTACAAATTGTACAAACTTCACCTAAAAAGTTGATGTATCAATTTTCATACCGCTAAAACCCGAAAGAAAACACGTTTTGTCAGCACACCTCACATATAGACAGTGCGGGACGACCACCTGTCTCACCGTTTGTCTTTTCGAGTCGACAATTTTGATGGTCACCTTATCCCGGGGTGCCTATTGCAGATGGCATCGGTTCTTGTCGGGGGCAATCGCCCCACTGGTCGCCGGAGAACAAACTCGTTTGTTTTTTAGACGAGTCGGGCGCGATCGGCTTGTGCCACGATAGCCGCTTTGCGTCCTCAATCTCGCTACCAAACCGCCCCGACCAGACCCGATCCCCCCAATGAGCACCCCGTTTTAGACAATATTGACTGCATAAAGTTGGGCTCACGCAGAGGTGACTTCAGCAGTAGACGCGTCTCAGAAGGTCGAGTGTAATGGAAATGCTTAGTAAGGTCGTCCTTCATATATATGTACACATATACACTATATATTTTATGTATA